CGTTATAGCGTTTGCAGTCACGAATTCGCGTTATCGAGAGCCATTTTAAATGGGTATAATGAGCATTTTGGTGAATCGATTAAAGATGTATTGAATGGGTGTCGGTGATGGTCTAGTGAGGGGAAGTTACACTGACGGGTATTACATTCTCGGGTATTACGCATATAGAGGTAAATTATGCTAAGCCATTGGACTGAGTGGTTGATATCCGATCGGTGGTAGACAAGCAAATGGTTGCGTTATCGTATTCGATGGTTAAATTGGTGGATACTGCTGTTATTGTTGGAAATTAGTCACTTGTCGGTAAACGAGTTGGTATTCATTTATTCGTTGAGCTTTGTCAACACAATAATGAGATACAACAATCCGAATACCAAAACTGATATATACTCTTAAAAATTTCTTAAAATTCCCCGCTATCTGAATTTATAATTGAGTTTTAATTGAATTTCCCTTCAAACTGACAATTCAATTTATCATTTCTCTTGGAAATTCAGGAATAGTTTATTGTTAATGTTAATTAATAATGGATCGTGATATACAAGAGAGAGGAAATCGATCTCGAAATATCTTGAAATATCTCGAATGAATGGATTTTCATTTTTTGGAGAATGGAAGAAATGAGTTTTGGCGACGAGATAAAAATGAATAAAATTAAAGAATCGTGGACAATCGGTTGGTCCGAGGTTTCCTGTCTGCTCGCTCGATTGTATATCACCAAAATTCATCTCTTCCAATTCCAGAGGAATGGCGGTTGGATGTAATCAGGCGAGTCCCATAAAACAGTTCTATCGGTGCACACATACGGAAAACTATAATCCCCAATGTGTTTCTGTGGTGGCACCATTTGGCGGTTTCTTTCATTTCAAAGTAACACTAGTTTATCCTCTCGCACCCCCTCGATCCAGTCGTTTATTTTCTTTCTTCATCTTGAGTGGGTGAAGTCATTGAAGCCCTGGATTCGATTCAGGGAGGAATTTATGAGGACCTGAGGTACGATAGAAAGGTACACTAGGGCTTTGGAAATTGGCCCTTTGGACAATGCCAACGCGCCGGGAAAATCCAATTAGTTGAAGATCTAGTATACACACGAGATGGTAAATGAAGTTTATGGGGATAGAGGAATGGAGTTTGAGGGCCGCGTTGGGTTTATTAATGGGTATTCTAATTGAGAATAGTACCTTCGACTGTTATGCACAATCCTCGTTAGTTATCTCATACTCAAATGCTGGGTTTTCGGTAAGATTTGTTCGAGCAGAAGGGCAACTGGTGAATTAAAATGAATTTCCAGTGTTAAGGGACCGTTTCGAGGCTGTAAATTGAAACGACTAATGAGAATCTATTTAATTGGGAATAATGTGCGAAATATTCGTCTATCATGAGGAATTTTCCTACCTCTGATACCTCCACCGTTAATTGCAATTGAAAATTTATCAAATCCGTGGATTTGAATTATTGAATGATTATAATTAATTATTTGACGTATTTGAATGACGACACGCCACCTGTTTGGGTCCCTAGGCCCATAATTTCATGTGATCTGGGACATTTGGGGCATTTAAATGTTTGGGGCATTTAAATTTTTTTATACAGCTTTTGGAGGAGTTGGAAAAGAAGAATACAACAGAAAGGAAATAAATTTCAATTGTTCCAGGAAAACAATTGTAACGTCATTGAGCTTTTGTATCTGCGATTTATAATTCTCTTCTTCGTTCTCACTCGAGGACTTTTGTGGGGATTGCGGGGGGTGTTGCAACCCTCGTAAAACTGAAAGAAAAGGCAGAGATGCTGCGACAAATGAAAAACGCACTGGAGGCTTAATTAAGTTTTCCTAAAGCGCGAAGAGAAAAGGCGCTGGATTAAGAGGAGAAAAATATATCCCATTTTTTTCTTCCTAGCTCTTCTTTCAAGTCGGCGAGAATTTATTGCACCCAATTCAGGAGGGACAAGTAATGAAGTAATTAAAAAGAATAAGTAAACCCCGGGACATAATCTACTTTTTTGATTATTTTTAATGACAATTTTTTCCGGGACTTGGGGACCAGAATTAACAGTGGGATTTACGCATGCAGTCTTAATTAATTAAACTCCCGGGGTGAAGATGAATAAATGAGTGGGGGTTCTGGTATTATTTTTCTTTTTTTGAGGACTTGCTCTCTCGACACCCTATAGTCACTGGAGGGAATACAAGAGCTGCATTTTAGACGTCGACAGGAAATTGTGTATAAAGAATTCAGAAGGCATTGTCTTGTTCATCCCGTCACTCCTTGGCTCAACTCAGCAATTCTTATGCCGTAAAATGCCTCGGAGATGACATTTACCTTTCATAAAATAGAAAAACCATGAGGCAGAGTGTTTGTTGTGGAATTAACCCCATCCTCACACCATTGATATGAATGAACCGTGGCAATTTACTAAACATGAAAATTAAAATCTCAATTCCATCGATAAATTTCCAGTAGAAATTTATCGATCGCCAAGAAAAAGAGAAAATTTCTAAATGCACGAGCCAATCTTAAATACACAAACTTCTTGACCTCATCTCAACGCAATTTTCCCCGCGAATAACACCCCCTGAGATAACCATAACTCCACCCCCTGAGCTCATGCCAAATATCATCCCAAAGAAAATGCAACAATAATCCTGAATTTTCTCCCCATTACTGCGCCAGTAATTTCTCCAACGAATTCTGAATAGTCTGAAAATTCCGAAAGTCGACACTCAAAGGAACATTATCATTCCAAGTGCAGTGAAGAGGGTGAGAAAAAATCCAAGCCAATATTCGAATGAATTTTTTAATAAAGAAAAGTGCCTCTTCGACGAAAATTGGCCCTCTCTTGGCCTTTCACTCGATTTATGATATTTTTTTCATTTATTTCTCTCCACCTTGGGCCAGGGTGAATTCTCCTCGTGTGTACGAGTGGTTTGGATATGTATAGAGGCTGTGAGGTTGTGTAGGGGTTGTGTAGGGGTTGTGTAGGGGCTGGAGAGGATGTGTAGGTGTACAATGTGCTTGTCCATTCCAATGCAAATGAAGTGGGCGACATGAGGAAGGTACGTTGGGATTGAATGGAGAAGAGGAAGAGGGTGAGGGTGTCTGGGGCTTCCCTCGGATTCTCCCCATTAGCTACGAATTGCATCCGATATGAGGCACCCCCAAAAACCACCCTGGATATATTTTGTCACCGGCAACACAGCAACTACCACTTTTTTACACTGTATACGTCTTATTTCGCATTTTCTCCTCGGGTTTTTACTTTTTCTCATCACTTTTTTCGCCATTTTTTTTTTTTGGTCCACGGTTTAGGGGTACACTCGTTGCAGATGAATTCAACGGGATCCCCAGAATTCTGCCATTTTTCGTCAGGGGAAAAAAAAATTCAAGCACCGCTATCTCGACAAAATCTCACCGGCTTTATGTTTTTCGGGTTTTTAGGGTTTTGGCATTCGGAGGGTGAATCATCCCTTAAATTTTCATTCTATTCTCGGAAACTTGATAATCTTGTGGATTCATGTTTTATGCAATGTGGGATGCAATGGGGGATTATTAGAATTTTTCTTTTATATTATTTTTATGGAATTGAGATTTTGCCGAATGGAAATTTCTCTTCTGCCCAATGGGAGACGTCGATTGTAAAATTCTCGTCGAATGGATGGTATTGGGTATTAAGGATGACTTGATGACCATGAGTACAGTGATGGGTGATTGCAATGAACTACGTAACTCATTGGCTACAACATCGTCAAATGGTGAATTTCCCCTGGCCCAACGAGCCGCGGTGGAGTAATCCCAAGTCCCGCCTGATTACATTATAATTGCAGATGGACGTGAACGAACCCCAGCCCAGAGGTGTGTGCATGCACACCCTCTCATTGCACCATCGAGGCCATCATTCCTCCAGCTTCCGATACACACACGTTGTTCAAACTCTGCAAATTCACATTCCCCTCAATCCCTCCCTCAATCCTCCTCGAATATCTCCCCTTCTGTTGCAACCCAAAGAGTGTCAACGAACCTATTTCAATATTCACAGGAAAATATTCCTATACACCCAATTCTTCGTTTTCTATTTTTTTCAGAAATAAATTCTGATTGTCGTGAGTTAAAAAATCGATGTCGAGAATTTTCTTTTCTTTCATTTTTCTGGCTTTTTGTATTTATAGACGTAAAATCTCTCGTTTAGTTTCCACTCCCACCGAGTGGAAAGAGTTTATTTCTATAAAACGTACTAATGTCGACGATAGAAAAAAAAATTGCGATTTTTCCGCTGCCTCGACGGTTTACAGCTTACACTTTCATCTATTCACCGTCACACGTTTATCCACCAACGAGTGACAGGGTAAACATCGTTCGATCATCCAGACATTTTGAACCCGTAGGAATTTTCCACATACAGTGAGACCGTACAGAGGCGATCAATCCTCCCAGCGGGAGTGTCGATAGTCCAGGGCATTCGTATTGTATAAGCACTGAGCCTCGATATCGACATCACTGCCCAGAGCTTTTTTCCCATCCGCATTTTTTTTTCTCCTCCCCCCAACCTTTTTCGACGAGTTTCTTGATCGATAAACCTGATACTACTCTCGCCGACCGAAAAATAAACAGTGCAAAGATTGGAGGGTGTTGAATACCACTTGGATTTTTTTCTCCCCTTTCACCGAAATTCATTTTCGCCGAATTATGAGTACCCTAGAAATTTTTTGGATTTTCAGAATTTCTTCACTCCAACTCCCCCGCCTCTGGGTACAATTTAACGAGTAATTTACAGCCTTCATCAGTGATTCTGCGATAAATCCGCGGTGATTCGCGAATTTTCGCGATTTTCGCGATTTTTCAAATTTATTTTATCCCTACAATCGTTCGGAATATTGAGAGATATTTTGAGATCGATTTTATTTCTCCTTTTTGTGTTAGGAATGTGAATAAATTGCGATAGAGACTAGCGGTAAGGTCTCTAAAATTGAAAAATTGATGAAGCATGCGGGTGTGGTGACTTACCCTCAATGAGCTGATCGAGCATAGCGTAAATGTGGGAGGTGGCCTCGTCTGTCATCACCCAACCACCAGTGGTCATCTCCAGGCGTCCCTCCTTCACCAAACGTTTCACCACAGCCTTCTTGGTTGGATGGGCACTGAAAATCAATGGTTATCGGTAAACCACGAGCTGTAAGACGACACTTAATCATACCCAAGGCTCCTCTACCTTTTCACTAAATCAAAGTATAATCGAATAACTCTATCAGCTATTTACTACGGCCTTTGGCATTTTCAAATGATTTTTTTCCTCAAGATCTAATTAGAATTATTGAATAGTTTTTCAGGTTGAATTGAAATTCTTCTCGTATTTTATAAAGTGATTTGATTGCTGGAAAAATCAGAGAGTTCACCGCAGTTTGATGGAGAATGCCATCATAAATATCCTCGAGACCTTTATCGCGTGTTATTTTACTGATAACGGCTTCATGTGGACGCACCTATTTTGTCCCATTTTGCAAATGCTTTCATTCAGTCCAACGAATTGAGGTTGCAATCTCGTAATTAATTAAACTCCAAACTCCATCAAAATGTTAATTTACTTTCATATAATCAACGAGAGTTACACAAGGAACTCTCTTTACAAGAAGTTGGTAACTTTCCTTCAATTTCTCGACATCTTTGGAAAGTTTTCGCGAAAAAAAGTTGGTAAATTTTTGAGTGCACCATTGAATAGTTGTTGCTGACAAACTCCAGATGAAGTCCCTTTAACTCAATTATCTACCAATGCCGACAAAATCAATTCTCAATAAAATATTTCTCTCTCAAGTTCCTTGACATGTCAACAGACATTTTAAAATGGAAAAATACCAAGAGCCGTTGAGAAAATTCCGGATTTCACTCTCTAATTAAAAAATCGATTCCCTGAATTGAATTGAATAAGGACGAGCGAGCCACCCTATCAAATAGACTTGAAAAAGTCCAGTCCTCCAATCACTCCCCGGATTTTAATTTGGAAAGCCCGGAGGCAGCAAACTTTGACATTACCCCGGAACTAAAAGACATCCCCTTTGTTTCACTCCTCATCCTGTGTCCATTGTCCTCCACCACATCACCCGCATTCTTCTCTGACACTTTCCCCAACCCCAACTGGGAAAGTGCCCTGGGTATGGCATCACCAACGACGTCAACCAGAGGTGCCAGTTTCGTGCAAGAACGCCTAACCCTGCTTTCTCCATTCTCTGCACCCCCTCTAACCACCCACCAGCTCATTCTCTTTATGCCTTTGCCTCAGCTATCTCGATTCACGTTCCGCAATATACCTCGTCCCACTTTAATACCCCTTTTCCTCTTTTTTACGAGGATCCCATCTACGATACGACGATGGTCCCCAAGAGAGTGAGTGAGATCCAACAATATCACCAACGATTCACCCCTCCCTCTTGTCCTTCCCCCTCAGCAGAAAAAAAAAAACCCCTTTTAACCGGAGATAAGACGCAAGCGCCTGTTGGCCATTCGAAGATTGCCCAGGACTCCCAATAGCCACTCAACGACTCGTGATAAACTCATTTCAAAGTGATTGCAAGATTCTAACCGGATATCGAGGTTTATCGGTTATATTACGTCGAGAAAAAAAATCCCATCCATGAAATGATCAGGTGATAGTCTCGACGTGATATTTGTGTTGGAAATTTATGGCTTACCTTTCCCACCACAGCGATAGGAACGAGACTTCACTCCAGATGAATGTCATGTTTGGCCACTGTTGGAGTTTCGTTACCATGTTGTTGAGGATGGAGCGGGTTGAACTGTGGAAGTACTGCTCAAAGGTCTTCAACCAGCCAGGGTCTGTGTGGCTGTGTGGCATGAGGATCACCTGAAACATTCAGAGGTGGGATTAGTTCGGGGCTTTTCAAGTTTAGTTTTGGGGCTTTCCGAGTGACAGTAACACTGGGCGATTGTTGGATTATTTGGGTGATTATACTCGATGGATATAATCACTGAAATAACACGAGGTGATGAATAAAATATAAAAATGCCCATCACTTTGTCTCCCTTTTAAAAATTCGTGCTAAATTTCTGTTAGTAAATACAAGAGTAGAAGACCCAAAGCTGGTACTGTAAGAATACCCCAAAGTGTTAATTAGCTGGGGCTGTGTGGTGGGCCTTAATAAGCTGAGACAAAGTGGCAGCTCACGAAGGGTGGGAAAGCTCTCTCATTCCTTCAGCAATTCTTATTGGTATGCATGAGACGCGAACGACAGTACGTTCCCCTCACCGTTGAGGCTCTTCTCCATGAGTTTTTGGGGGTGCCCTTTATTAACCCCAGATTTACGCGCACGACCACTTCTCGAGTCATCCAGAGTGTCTCGTGGATGAAGGTGTTCGGGAGCATTCGATAGACTTCACAAACTACTCTCTCGTTTATGCCAACTTTTCACCAGTAACTAAACTCGAATTACGGCCGAGGTTTGAAGATCGTTACAGTTAACTATCCGACGTTCGGGTTAAGTAGAAAACCTCCGGTTGGGGATGGCTTTATATTGGTGTTCACAAAGTCATGGACAAAGTCCTAAACCCGTTCTTGTGAAATTGGGAGGAGACGGGTTTGAACTCCTCATCGTGACGCTAATCCACGGAATTCCAATCGGTTTTCGTGTATCGACGAGACTCTTATCAATAACCTATTTGCTTTGAGAATCTTTTTGTCTTTGGAAAAACTGGAATTCGAGAGGACAACCCATTTATTTACCCTTGTTCGCAATTTCAGTGTAATTATTTCAGCGAAGTTGCATCGTTTATGGGTTTATCAAAAACGAATGATATACTGCAAATGAAAGAATAATTAACTGGAATCCTCATCAACGGAGGGTAGTCGAGCTGGTTGTGACAGTTTTAACATAATTGACGGTAGTAACTCTTTCAAGTGCGCGAATGTTGTCGTTCCAAGATGAAATTACGCTAATTAATATTCTGCTTGAATAGCTCGAGAGTTTTGTACACTGCCTGTCAGAGAGTAGTGAAATTTTGAGAAATTGTTGCTGAAAATTTTTCGTGGAAATGGTGTTCACTGAAGGCAAATTGGAATAGCAAAAATCAATAACTATAATTGGTAGTTTTTTTTTTTTTTGACGGGAGAAGTGGGCGAGTCTTCGTGAGTTATTCACGAGCTCCTGAAATAAACTCGTTCTGTGGAGATCAATACCTCAATATTAGCTAATTGTATTAATAATTGACGAATGAGTCTTTAGGCTATTTATAGATTCTCGGATAATAAACTGTGCAGAAGGGGCGAGTTACCGAACATTGTGCCCTGGAGCATGAATAAAATTACGGGGTGAATGTGAAGTACATTGCGGTATTTTCCTATTTTCATGTTAACTCAGCTAAACCTCAAGGTTCACTCCCTCCGGATATTGTAACCAGCGCAAGTTTACGTGAATTGATCGTTTAATTTGCTTAACCAGGGGGAGAAAATGAGGTGATCCTCAGGTACAATAAATAGTGAAGTTGTAACATGAAAAATTAAAAATAAAAATGTAAAAGTTCATGGCTCGCCGATGGAGTCAACTGAATGCCTGGAGTAAATTCACCGAAAAAACTCATCAAGGAAACTCCAGTGTTATTGGATCCTCACCTGACCCAGAAACCGGTTAACATCTAATTCTGCAGCTGGGGGTAATTGATTGGGAGAAGAAAGGATCCTGGTGTACATCCTGTTGGGCTGCGAAATAATGAACGTCCCGATTGCCCACAAATCCTTATCACCCCAATCCACCCACTCATTTCATCCTTTTCACACTGTTACACTCCCTCCCTCGTTCCATACCAGTGCAGAAACTCGTCCTCAGGCATAAACACGCCAATATTCTCCAATCTTTGATAACAAGGTGAAACTACCGGCTTTACTGGTAAACGCAATGGGTACGTAATATTACTATGAAAAGTTACGCTCTCCAGTATATAACCAGAAAGTTTTTCTCTTCTCCCTACTCTTCACCGTTTATTTCCCCAGCTTTATTTCGACTACGTGAGGGGACTACTTTTTGCAATAAAAAGTTTCCGGCATGCAAAAATGCTGTTGTAATTCTCACGCGATTCACCATTCATATCCATTCCGCAAACTAATAATTCTCCGGCAAAAAACATCTCTGGAAATATCTTTTCCGTCAGCGTTTCAGAATTAATTGCTGGATACTACACACCGGGCAATTTTCCATTTAATATCAAAAACAAGATATTGAAAAAGTAAATTACAACGCAATGCAATGAAAAAATGATCAATCGATATCCAACATCAAATATAACTCGGCCATCAACTTCCACTAATCTCCGAACAATCCGAATAAAAGCCACAAATCATAATCCCTACATTGTTGGAAATTTGAATAGCTCTCCGGAAAGCAGCACTTCCATCATCCTTGGAAGAACAGAAAGTGGAATTAGTTTCCATGAGGACGAAACGCGATTTAGTGAATTCAAGTCACGATCATTGGTGGTTGCTATCCCCAAAGCGTCCAATGCTATCCACTGGATGGTGCAGATGGTGCTAGAAACCCGTCGTGTATTCTAAATTCACGATCAACGATTCTCTGGACCCATTTCCCTCTGCTCACCATCGACCACCCACCGGGTGGAAGTACCCCGAGGTCGTATTGTCATGGTGTTTTGGCACTACGCCGCCTGTCCATTGTCCAACATATGACAATGCCATGATGAGCGACCATTCACCATCCCCAGGAATTCATCCACTGCCTATCAATGCTTTCACCACCTCGACCGACAGCTTCAATCCCTATGGCTCCACCACTACACGCTCAAGAGGGCTTATCAAACATTTTTTTGAGGACTTTATTAAAAATTTATTTTCTCTCGTATACCCTTTCGGGTCTTTACGGTTAGTTGGTTCCCTTCCCACCCCCCCAACCCCCTGTACCGCATTTGCTTGAAGGGAGGGAAAAACCTCATCTGAGGGAAAAAACCTGCCCAGGTACAGTCGTCCTTTTGACAGGACTACCGCTCGGCAGTGGAACCGTGAGATCAGAGCGCTATAAATTTTTGACCGCCGGTGCCCGGGATCGAACCCGGATCTCTGGCATGCTAGTCTAGCACTCTAACCGCACGGCCACTACCGTCGGTGAGGACTTTATTATTTCATCGGCATTATTTTTTGCGGATATTTCGCGGATATTTCGCGGATATTTCGCGAGGTTCTCTATGCACGAGGTACATGCAAAATCTAGAACTATATGTTCAATTCAAGAGAAATTACTGACCCAGAGAATTGAACTCTATGTGAAAATAAGTTTGCTCTCAATATATATTTTTTTTTACTAAACAAAATTTTTTTGCGCGATTTTTCGCCGAATTTTCTGGTCGCTCGGGGGTGAGTAGTCCATTTGCGGAACACTCACTATAAATGAAATAGTCCTAATGCCGTATATGAAACGAACTCACTGTCTAGCAAAAACGAATTTAATTAATGGATGAAAGGGGGAAATAAAATAGTCGTAAATACTTTTATGTCCCCACTATTTAATACACGACAATTCGTAATCTGGGTTCCTTTGGTAGATTTATGGGGCTATAAAATCGTGTTCTAGTTATTTTTTATGAAATTTATGACAAGAATATCGTGTGGGTTTTTTATTTCGTGGAATTTGCGGTTGTTGATGGGAAATTGATTAATGGAGAATAACGCCGACTAGTAAGGTGAAAATTTTTTGAAAATAATTCAATAGTGGAGATGTAAAAATGACAATTATCTGATATCATCAGCCCGCCGATAATACGACCTTGGGAAATTAAAACGACGAATAAACCGCCGACGAAAACTGAGATAAATTGAAAATGCAAATCGTTGGAAATGCGAGGGACCTTCAAGAATAGTTGGAATAGAATTCATGTCAACCCACCGAGTTAGACAGCCGCGAGGATTAGGATTTGATTTAGATTAGCTCGGTACCTCTTTCGCAGACTTATCCCAGAGACTCTCGTCTTTATCCCCAAAGCAAACGACGAAACAAGACCAGAATCCTATTTCAACAACACAGAGAAAATGCTCGGGAATACTTTTACCCCAGAAACTCAGGCGTTTAAATGGGTGAGAAGAAATTACAGAGTCGAAGGAGGAAGAAATTTTCACACTGTATGCGAACTCGGAGAGGGGGTTTATTTTAATTTTACTGCAGTTTACCGAGTTTTGTATACCGAGGCATTTATTATCTTGAGTTCCGGAATGGAAGCAGTGGAACGATGGAGGTTTTATCCCTGAAAAATGTATTCAACTCTCGAGTACTTACGAGCTGATCTCCGTGTCCACAGTGTGGAACACGTATTTGTATTGTTTTCCAAGAGGAGATTAAGAGATCTTACAGTTGCTGGGTGAGAATGATGGAGATTCGATTGTTTTGTCGACTTTTTACGAACGCCTCGAGAATTATTGGTGAGGTTTCAATATTTATTGGGCCTAGAGACTCGTGGATGAATAAAAAATTAAACAAATCCAGCGGAGAATCAAATTTAGGAATTACGGAGTGTAATAGAAGAATCACTCACAAAAGTGAAGATAAGATCATAAAACCGTCGGAATAAAATGGACGCGCTTCAAATAGTCCATTCACAAAGTCCTCGATAATGATCTCATCGTATTCACCGATCGACTCAATTAATTCATTCATACAATGAACCTAATCGAAATCGTTCGATCTACCTCAAGCCATTGGGTCGCGATAAAGCGGTTAGGGAGGAGAAGAAAAACCACTGATTGCAAAATGTTTTGTATACAGTTTGAAGGCGATAGCATCTGATCACCTAGTGCTTAAGTGGAATCGCATATTGCCTTTTGCCACGCGCCACTAACTCACTTTTTTCTCAAGCCCTCACTTGTCCTCGTAAATTTCACACTACGACGATGGTTTGCTCTCGAGGCTCCACGTTATGGACACGTTCAGCGATTACGAGACATCCAACTTTACGACTTTCTATCAAAGCAAGCAATCAACCCATCGTTTAAAATATACACCCCCCACCCCATCCAAAAAAGGAAACTTTAGTTTAAAACTTTCAGGTTGAGACCTTCCGCCGGCTGAACTCGATTTTTTTTTTGCACTTTAATTCGAGTCAAAGTCTACATTTAAAATCTTCAAAAGGTGTAACCCCCAAAAAAAATCGTCTCAATCAATTCCCATTAATTATTTCATATTGACGTCTGACTCTAATTATTTTTTAGAAATATTTTTTAGAATCGATTCCAGTGCATTGTTTAGCCAACAAGCTTTCCATTTTCATTAATCATCATCGAAATGAGTAATGACAAACATCTAAAATTAGATATTTGCAGCTGAAAACTTATTTCTCGTTTCGGCGACGTTGATTAATTCCAGAGAAGTGGAAAAGTTGTCTGACAATTTACTCAACATGGAACACGGTTAAATGGCGAGAGGGCAAGAGGATCGAGAGAAAACTAAAGGACAGTTTTCGAATCTCGAGCATTACCACACCGAAAAGTGGGAAACTCCCAAGTAAACTCGTAGAAATATTTATCATTCCAGTTTCCGAGGGACAACGCTGTTATTCCCAGTATTTTTTTTCAACTTGTTACGTTGAATGTAACAGCGTGTGCAACAGTCACTTAATTTTCCAGAGGTGTATCTGAAGTCCGAAATACATCAACTTATTCAAGACACCAGATACTCTCATTAATTAAGGATAATTCACAATACAAGGAATTTAATTAATTGGTGGCTGTACTGGCGCGTGACAGATGTACGAATAAAACTGTCATCGCGATGGTAATTAATTACCTTGAGGGGTGGCCTTTTGGGATCCTTTCTGAGCTCAGCATATCTAGCCTCGAAGCTGTCGTCCCAGTACTCCCGGCTGCGCATCCAAGACGGCTGTAATACAAAAGCAACATTGCCAATTAATCATCTGGAGAATCTCATCAAATACATGGGAGTCTAATCCGTTGGGAACAATATCTACGTAATTGCATTCTGCTGGTCTCCAGCTTCAGTTCAACCATTTCATCAATAACTTTGGTTTCAATTTATCATTTAATTCACACCAATTTTTTACGGACAGTACAAAAATCTTAAATACCCTTGAGCTTTCCTCAATTTCCGAAATTCTCTGGGGCGATAGAGTCGATAGAGTCGATAGACTTATTTTGGATAATATCAAGAATTGTTTTCTATAAAAAAAAATATTTTTGCTCGGGAAATGGTAAAGTTGAAGAACAGGTTGTACCGGAGAGCTGTAAAGATTTACCGTCTAATTTCTGTCGACATGAAATTGATTGCAGGAGCTTGTAACACCGTCCGAAAATCTGTTATGCCTCGTAGAGGCATTTACGGAAGAGTTTTGAAAGCTTTCCGGTAGATTTGGACTGGAGTCGTAACGGTGGAAGTGGTGCTTCCACCAGTGAAATTTGATAATGGATTTGAAATACTGTCGAGTGGACAATGGAAACCAAAACCCATCGGAAATTCATCTACGAGTCTCACTAACAACTTTTCGCCGCCATCTAATGTTCTAGCTTGGAAAATGGATCACGGTCCACTACTTGTGCGTACTTGAACCATAATGGAGAGACAATGGACCGTCGGAATCGATTTTCTACACTTCAAACCTGGGGAGGTTGGCTACATGGAGAGTAACTTTGGCTCTTTTCAGCAATAAAAATCACGTTCCCATGTGAAAGAGCTCGTCCAGTGTAATCTATGTTGACTATATACACTTTCAATGAGGGTGGAGTACATCTGCTGGAATTACTCGACTGTATTTCCCTTTTCCACTCGCCATCAGACAGTCCATAAAATACTTCAGCTAAATGATAACAATTTTGACACCGGAATTCGAGATAATAATAATATAGATTATAATTCTAAACAAGAATTCCTGAATTTTCATTATTATAAAAATTGAAAGATACTCGATTCTCTCATTCATTCGTCCTCGAAATAATTTCGTAATTGCGTCCCTTCAATTCGAATATTTACGGATAGACGTTTGGCCTATTGATTCGTCTTCTCATCTTCTCATTGAAGTACGAAAAAATATGCAAAGCACGTGGTTCCCAATAGATCTGTATTCCCAGATGCATATGGAGGTGAATGCGAATCGAATGTTCGCAGGTAAAATCGTAATAGACTTTATATCCAATCTTGCCTTGGGGGATAGCCGGGTGAAAACACGGGGGAAATAAATCACGTGTATCGATACAACTGGTTGAAAATAAAAAATATTCTCTACCACACCACAATATAATGACGAAGGGAATATGGAACAATACTATTCCCCAGTTGTTTCAATTAGAGACGATCGTATCATCGCAAATCCCACAGTGACCTGATTATTTTAATGACTACGATAATTCACGAAGTTGTGAACGTAATCGCCTGATGGGAGCCGCGATATTCAGAGAATAACGGAAGGTATTAGAAATTCGAACGCTTGATGAAAATGAGAAAATCACGTTTATGAAGAGTTTTAACGAGGGACTCCCACGACTCTTCCAGAAAATGATGTAGAACTTGGTCTCGTGAATATCGATTCTCATGTGTGTACTTTGAGGGGAGTTATTTGAACAGATGGATACATTTGCTTGATCTCTATTTGATCTCAAATGAAATAAAAATAGTACAAAAAATAGTGACTATTTTTTGGGTCCTTGGGAGAAGTTTAAAGCTCAGGATTGGAAAATCTGTGTGGAGCTCGAGTTTAATAGCTATGAGTTTTGGCTAGGGATAACAGAAGTTTGGCTCGGGTCTTCGGCAACCTCGTCTTGGCCACAAATTGTCTTATTATGCCACGGCGACATACCGTACCTAAACGACACGAGTAAATCCGGATGGCATGATTTACAGGAGTGCCCTGATTTGCCCTAGAGTCAGCCGTTATAGTCCACTTGAATGTTATCCATTCAACTGAATCATTATTACGGCGGGGTATAACGCATCGTCCTTCGCAAATCCATGCGCGAATGCATTAAATCTAATGATGGATAATGGAGAATTACAATATTGGGAAATCATTATTGATAGCGAGGGATCAAGTGAACTTGCGTACATTTTGATACAGTACTGCAGGTAGGAACTTCTCATTACTGAGAATTTGCTGCATTGCAAATTTACTGGTTCACGAGATATCCGATATCATAAACATTGACAATTTTTTTTTTTGTATAAATTTTTGTATAAATTTATTGCATAAACGTTCACAAATTTCATGCAGATTATCCACGATTTTCAAAATTAAATATCTCATGAAAGAATTGATAGACTGATATAAAAAAAAAAGAAAAAATAGTGCATCTATAGAATTAAAAGGGCTTTCTGGGATGGTTTATCTAGTTTTTAATAAAGTAGGATTTGAAAGAAAATGGAAGTTGAGTGGAAAAGTTTTAAGTGAAGTTCTAAAAATCTCAAATCCCTCGTTTTTCAAATTGTATATTTAGAGATCATAGGAATCAGAATGAATTTTTGTTTGCGTGAATAATAATGTGATAATTAAATAAAATAGCAGTGGTATTTGGATATTTTATTGTACAATACGCGGAATAATTGGAATGGAGTACTAAGTAATATCTTCCGAGCGGCTAATATTGAAATTGCAGTAGTTCAAATGTGGGTATGATCTTATGAATAACACATGCTATTTCTGATTTTGCGGTTGTGCTGTATTTGATTGAAATTATGTGTGTATGGAATATGCAAAATTAAACGCGAATTTCAGTTGGAGTGCAAAGGGACTACGGGATTACCATCGAATGGGAGTTAATTATATGCATTAACGATTCACAACATCAAAGAGATGTATGCAATTATATTTCCTAGAATTAATGCGCGGGCTGTCCATACACTTCACCAAAAAAAATCAATGAACTTCGACGGATATTAATCAGATGCAATTCAACGGATTTCAGTTTGGCCTGGCCATTAAATTTCAAATCATACTCTCTAACTCGAGAGAGCATTAAATTACAACCAAGGAGAGAATCAAACGGGACATATCCTGCGATTAAACGACTTCTGTACAGTTGAAGTATGAAGTGCATCACGCAGTGATTCAGGGGTCACTTAAATTTAAGAGACATAAAGTGCAGATAGAAATAAAAATTTTCCAAACAAGAAAGATTATTTGAGTGAAAAAAAAAATGTTCTGTGCCCGCGTGTGCAAATACTCAATCTCGATTGATAAATTTTTCTGCTTAGAAAGGCAATTGAATGGCCATTAGCCGTTTTCCTAGATCGTCTCCTCGAATCCGGCTTCTTTCTCCCGAGGAAAAGACGAGCCACCGCACCGCGTGCACGATCGTACGATAAGGGAAAAAGAAAAAGCGTGCGGTTAGAGGGGGGGATAGGGGGGGATGAGGGGGTATAGCATAGTGGCACTATGATTTATAGTCTGGCGCAATGTCGGCGGGTAACGCCGGAAAATGTATGGAAATGCATTCCGCCGCACCGCGGGGTAGATCAAACTGCCAGTACGCTAGAATAGAGGGGATAGAGGGTAGAGTAAAGGTAGAGTGAGTAGTGCTGATAGTGGCTGTTGAAAAAAAAAGGGGAAAATGAGGGTTGAAAAGGGGGAGGATAAAAAAAAAAGGACAACGTACTCTCTGTGCGGTGTAAACGGCACTTGCGAATCCTCGCTAAGGCGTTAAAACCCAAAGATCCTACCTTCCGCCTATTCTACGTTTATATCTCTATTTTTTATTGAGGGCTTTGAACTTGAGTGCTCACTGGAGACACTTTCATCGGCCTCTCCCTTTTATTTATTTATTTATTTATTTTTTTTTTTATAAATTTGAAATTGGGTTATGTGCACTAGACACATAAGAATTTTTACGGTTACACTGAAGTTCTTTAGTTGTTGGGGGAAATTGTTCGTTTATTGTTGCAGCTTAAAGCTGCAATAGAAAGAGTAAAAATGGGTTTTTTCCATTCGCAGGGAAATTCTTGAGATTCCAGCTGCAAGTTGGGGGAGAAAATTTCCTATTCAAAATGGCGGGTTACGTCCTTTTAGCTCTATTTCCCTTTTTATATGGAGATTTGCATTTTTCCTTTGAAAAATTTATTATTCGCTCTCTGGGTAGGGAAACGGTTTGTTCGGATCTCATTGAATTGGAGATTTCATTCTCATTGTAATAATATAATTATCATTACAAGAATTTTTACTCCCTCACTTTGAGGAACTGAGTTAATAGAGATTAGATTTTTTTTTTCGTCATGATTACGGAAAAATTGAAAGGACTAACTATCGAGCCACTGATAATGACGCATTTACCAAAATTTTTTGGTGAACGAGGAAATATTTTTTGTTGATTTCTTTTTGTTGCAACCCTGTCGAAATGGCGGGTAGTTGTTACTAAGGAAGGGGCGGAGATGAGGCATTTAACAACGCAAAAGCCCGACATCAGGGGTACTTTACCACTGCCATTGGAGGGCGTGGAACTGACTATAGCAAGAAGCGTTAAAAAGATATTGCCGGGTATTAATCGTAAACCTAGCAGACTCACTCAGTAAAATCTTGCAACAGCATCTCCATTTTTAAACATTTATCCGTTAAAACATTGTATTGCAGATTCTGATCGCATTTAATTCTCTATTTCTCATAAATTCCTGCCTAAATCAAGAATCTAACATCTAATCTCCAGCCGCAAAATTTGAATGATTCCCCTGAACTAGGGGAATGCTCAAAACGAAGATAATGAACCCCCAAAGATTTGCCAACAACGTTGATAACCCTCCCCTATCCTGCAAACGACACGAGCAGATCCCCCACATTCCTAGATCCACTCCCCGAATGCCACCCTTGGAGTTTTCCCAAGAGCTTGCACTATCTTCCCGGAAGAGAGGAACCTGACGCTCTATCCTGTCGTGGAAGTTGACTGCAC